ACTCGAGTTGCAACCAACTCGAGTTGCAACCAAAATCACGGGACGGATTAAGGTTGTAACTAAAAGGAACAATGTATTGGATTGGCTGGAATCAGAATACTGCTGTTATCATTATTAACAAAAAATATCCGTAGGTCTGGTGTAGGACCCATGAAATCTCTTTAACAACTTTTTTCATTAACAAGATTTTAATTGCGTCATACATATTAAATAATCCACCAACCCAATGTAAATAGTTTCTTTCATTATTTCAGTTGATGAGTTTAAAACAACACTTCGATTTTTAGAACAAAATGCTTTCTATGAAGACAGAAATATTTCTATGAAGACTTGTGTATAATATATTGATCCCAGGATAAGGCTTAAATTTATATTACTACTGAAGACAGACAAAAGAGAGTTTACATCACAAAAAAGTTGCTCCCCTGCCCTCCCAATGTAAAGAATGGAGATTTTGAACCACTGTCAGGGATTTTAATAGTAGGGGTGGGAATGATTTGTTTCCTACAGGCCTCCTGTCCCATATGCACCCATGAAATGCCCCAAAGGACTAAAAATCAGCCCCATTCCTCCCAGTGATGGCATCACATCACCAGATGGCTTGCTGTGCCTCTCCTGAGGGCTGGAAGGCAGAAGTTTACCTCCCAACACCTTAAATATTGCCCATCCCTGTCCTCCATAATAAGTGAAATTACTTAAATTACAACATGAAAGCTTTCTGAGTTCATGAAATTAATATGTTTAATTAAATTAAATAATTACCTTTTTTCTTTCTTTTTCCCCATCCACTTATGTAACATGGGTTCTTATCAGTCACTGCATGAGAAATGTGAGGTAAGCAGATAGGCTGAATATATTTATTGTACTTAACAAGCTTCAGAAGTTTAAACATTGCAATGTCATTTTCATAGCTGTCCCACTTGAAACCAGAATGGACAATGATATTTTTCACCCGACGACTTATGGTGTGAGGATGAGGTTTATAAAGATGATGTAAACCAATCACAGCTCTCCAGTATTCTGGGTTCCTAGGAAATAAAATCCTTTGTAGAGTTAATAAGGCTCAGTGGCTGCTTCACATAATTTTAGACTTGTGCAATCTTAAAATCTGCAGTACTGTAATTCTAATTCAGTTCAAGAATTCTATCAAGCGAGAAAATTGCAATTTTATCATGGGGATCCCTTAAATAAAAATAGCAATGTAAGTACTGTTCTGGGCCATTAGGAGTTTGTTTTATTATGGCAATTATTCTTGGAAATTCTTAACTGTTCAATTTGGAAATTGGAATTCAGAAATGGGAGATACAAATATCACACAATATCGTTTTGTTATGAAAGGCAAATCTGCATATATGTGCATTAGGACATGAATACAGGAGATAAGAACTCTGAAGGATCGGGTGAATGACCCACTGAATGCAGTACCAGTCTCCAACCAGGTACATTTAGGAATCTTAAAAGCATGGAATTGAGGGCAATAATTCTCTTCCATTGGTGTTTCCTGGCAGCTGATATTTAAGGCATGATACTTGTGATTCACAAGGTAGCATACAGCTAGCAAGACTAATAACTACGAACAGTTCTGTCCTCCATGAATTTGTTTATTCACCCGCATTTTAAAATCATCTGAATTAATTATTACCACATCTGATGGCAGTGAATTCTATACTTTAATTATACATTGAATGAAATACTTCTTTTGGTACTGAATCCCCCTGCATTTAATTTCAATGAATGAACCCACATTCTAACACTGTGTGAGAGAAAAACACTTGTTACCCATTTTCCATATCATACATGATTTTATAATAAACCTCTACCATATCTCCTTTTACCTAAAATTGCTCTAAGACAAGAACCTCAATCTCTAGTTTTTCCTCCAAAGGAGCTACCATGGCCCATTAATCATTCTAGTTACCATGTTTGCATTTTTACCATTCTACAGTATGCTTTTTGAAGTGTGGTGAATAGAGCTACAGTGGGGCAAAAAAGTATTTAGTCAGCCACCAATTGTGCAAGTTCTCCCACTTAAAAAGATGAGAGAGGCCTGTAATTTTCATCATAGGTATACCTCAACTATGAGAGACAAAATGGGGGGGAAAATCCAGAAAATCACATTGTCTGATTTTTAAAGAATTTATTTGCAAATCATGGTGGAAAATAAGTATTTGGTCAATATCAAAAGTTCATCTCAATACTTTGTTATATATCCTTTGTTGGCAATGACAGATATTTGGTCAATATCAAAAGTTCATCTCAATACTTTGTTATATATCCTTTGTTGGCAATGACAGAGGTCAAACGTTTTCTGTAAGTCTTCACAAGGTTTTCACACACTGTTGCTGGTATTTTGGCCCCATTCCTCCATGCAGATCTCTTCTAGAGCAGTGACGTTTTGGGGCTGTCGCTGGGCAACACGGACTTTCAACTCCCTCCAAAGGTTTATATTGACCAAATACTTATTTTCCACCATGATTTGCAAATAAATTCTTTAAAAATCAGACAATGTGATTTTCTGGATTTTCCCCCCCATTTTGTCTCTCATAGTTGAGGTATACCTATGATGAAAATTACAGGCCTCTCTCATCTTTTTAAGTGGGAGAACTTGCACAATTGGTGGCTGACTAAATACTTTTTTGCCCCACTTTATATACAGTATTCAAAGTACAGACTCACTCTAGATTTATATAAGGGCAATATTATATTATATTGACCAAATACTTATTTTCCACCATGATTTGCAAATAAATTCTTTAAAAATCAGACAATGTGATTTTCTGGATTTTCCCCCCCATTTTGTCTCTCATAGTTGAGGTATACCTATGATGAAAATTACAGGCCTCTCTCATCTTTTTAAGTGGGAGAACTTGCACAATTGGTGGCTGACTAAATACTTTTTTGCCCCACTTTATATACAGTATTCAAAGTACAGACTCACTCTAGATTTATATAAGGGCAATATTATATTTCACGATACATGGCCCCATTCATTCTTTCCTTTACACAGATCATATTGACCAAATACTTATTTTCCACCATGATTTGCAAATAAATTCTTTAAAAATCAGACAATGTGATTTTCTGGATTTTCCCCCCCATTTTGTCTCTCATAGTTGAGGTATACCTATGATGAAAATTACAGGCCTCTCTCATCTTTTTAAGTGGGAGAACTTGCACAATTGGTGGCTGACTAAATACTTTTTTGCCCCACTTTATATACAGTATTCAAAGTACAGACTCACTCTAGATTTATATAAGGGCAATATTATATTGGTATTTTAACTGACAATAGACCTCAAACAATCACCAAGATTTATTTTATAATTTACAGACATAACCACATATTATATAAAAAGAAAGATGCCAGTTCGTGTACTCACTTCTACCTAGAATCTGGACCAGTATATTTTAAAAGTCCAAATGGAAGTGATTGACATTTGCCAAATAAGACATTGCTATGAAAGGGTAGGTGAAGGAGTGCTGTATAGCAGGAAAGCCAGTGTGCTAGAGAGATGTTTTAGAGAAGGGAAGAGAAAAACCTGAAACAAAACATATTCCATTTTAAGCTATCCAAAATAAAGGGAATATAAAACACATCACTTCAGAATTGGTCACTGAGAACCAATGAGGAGCAAAATCTGGAGTTTTGCGGCTTTCAATTAAGAAATGAGGCAGAGAACTAAATTGTTTGGAAGAGTTTCTGAATGACTTATTCAAGTACATTCTGGCATAATAGATTCTTGTAGAAATGATAGGGGGGGATAGAAATTTAGTGCTATTAAGAAATACAGTAACAGATTGGTATAAAAATAAAATTAAGCACTGGTTAAATGAGTTTGGCAGCAGTTCTTGAATTCTCTAAACTTGATGTTCACTACTATAACTAATGGGCTTTGCGGTAAAACATAAATCTAAGTAGGGAGTTCACAAATTAGGCTGTGACTATGTGTGAAAACTAACTGCACATTAGTGAAGCAAAAAGATGGTTCAAGAATAGAAATTGGAAATTCTGGCCCTGAAAGTAGAACTGCATACCAGGGTAGAGTGAAACTAGTGGAAAAAACAACACAGAATGCCAGCTAAATCAGCATCATAAATCCAAGGAATGTGGCACATGTGTTTATTGAGCAACAAGTCTTTTGAAGCTGATTGGAACTGCATTTAAGCAATTTACAATATGGCAGATGCATTTGCTGTTCTATTTTAAGAATTCAACCAAGGAACAATGTTAGCATGTGGCTAGGGGACATTTACCTTCTGTTACTGGCTTCACTAAACATACATACACCAAATACCACTTCTCTTGCTTCTGCACTTGAAAGAATGCTTATCACAATATGCAACTGTAACTAAATCTAATAGCAATTATTAGATAGTATTTATTTATTTATTTATTTATTTAAATCTATATACCTGCCCAATTTGACTGACTCTGGGTAGCTTACAATAAAAAATGTAATTTAACTATGTTTCCATTTTACTCTTTCTTCTCAGTTGCCTTCTATATGTCAACTATCAGATATCTCTCATATTTTTCCCATAGAAAAATGCTAGACTGTTATGTGAAATTCAGGTCATTTTAGCATCATGTTTCCTGCTCTTTTTCCCAAAGAACTATAGTGTTGGAAATCTATTATTAGTAATTTTATTTATATTCTATTTCCAACTCCCAGAAGTCCACTCCTTTTGTAGACATATGTGTTGAGTCAAAACAGAAAATAATTCACTTTGTAGAAGAACAAAAAGCTCTTATTTCAATGAACAAAATTCTCTACCAAATCTTCTTTAAGCTTTGATCTCCAGGTATTATTGACTATGGCTGTCATCAACATCAGCCAGCATAAACTAACATCAAGGATAATTAGAACTGTAATCTAACAACACATGGGGATCCCTAAGTTTGGAACCACTGTACATCAACTGAATTCTCTGAACCTCTTCCTTTGCTGCCAGAAACCAACTTATTAGACATATTGTTGCAAATGTTTAGCTGAAAAAATATCCATGCTTCGAATTTCACAGTAATTCTATAAATAGTGATAGCAGTTCAGAATTCTGCACTGAATATAATTTCCTTTAACAGCATATGTGGGCATTCAATTGAGTACCACAATTCTGGAAAGGAAAATAAAAAATGATTTCTACATACTTGTACAAGTGCCTAGAAACATAGATTTCTTTTTAGTAAATTTAAGAAATGTGTATTTAAGTACCTTTTTGTGTACACTAGAGTGACAGCATTGAAGTAATACCCCTACAATATTTAAACTCCAAAACACTCCTGGAATAATGTTAACATAACACCTTTAGCACTTATTTCAAAGTAATTCTCAGGGAAAATTTTGCTACAGTTTTAGCTATTTAAAAAAATCAGTCTATTGTAGCATACAGCATTTCATAAATATTAGTACAAAAGGCAGGAAAAAAAAGAAGCTAGCATGCAAGTGTTCTTTTTTCTGAAAGCAAAATATTTCAGAAAATGCTTAGAAAATGAAATAGCCCCCCTTATGTACAGTTGTCCATTTTTTGTTAGAGAAAGGGTATGTCAGACAAAAAATGGATGTCCCAAAGCATAACCTCAATGTAAGGTAGGATGTTATTCTCTACAAGATCTATTAGATGTTCCTTTATCTGAAAAACTTCTCAGCTTGTATATATTAAATTATTTTTAAAGTATGAATTAAAAGGAGGGTGACTTAAATGGCAACTCTGTACCGATGCCATTTTATTGGCTTAAACTTTAAAATCCTCTTTTCAATGGTTTGTCAATAATTATGAAATCAATGCAGCAGCTGAGTCACTTGATAGAGAACTTTAAAACTTTTCATAAACTTTCAACCATCACATGATAGTTTATTTCTAAGCAGTATTTAACCAATAAATTGATACATTTTAAAGTAGCAGGACTAATGTTGTCCTGGGAAATGTCTTCTTGGTTCCTCAGATCTTGTAACAGGGAAGCAGCTTACTTAACAAAAAATTAATTTACATCTTTTATTCAAGTGAGAAGGAAGGACTCACACAGGGTGCTCCTGTTCCTAAGTGGAATTGTGTACAATATACTTCATAGGAGAAATACTCTGATTTTTCTTCTCCTTCTATAAAGCTCACTATTGCTATTTGTGTGGGAAAAGATGTATGATATTCTTCACAGAAGAAAATTCTGAAATAAATGAAACCCTTAAAAGATTCTTCTGCTCTTGTGAAGGGTGGTGTCTAATATAGCTCTTGAGTCTTAAGAGGAGGGGTGTTGGACAACTTAGATTACCTTTAGACTGATGCACAATGGCAGGACGCATGCTACCTATCTTTTCAAGAAAGACAGTTTCGCGGTAGCCAGAAATAAAGACGTATGATACTAACTTTAATTATATTGATTTTATGGCTATATTTTACATTTTGATTGTTTAAAAATTTTTGTAGGCCACCTTGAATGTTTATACAAACAGAAAGCAGGATGTAGACTTAATAATAAATAAAAATATATACAGTACTAAGTTCACTTTCTGAAGCACTGATCAGAAACAAGGTTCCTTCCTCTTGAGTGACTCATTTGCCTCTGTGAGATTGTCACTACTATTGGTCACTAGGTTGGAGATTGCATTATAGGTAGTCCTCACTTAATGAGGGTAATTGGGACTAAAATTTCCATCACTAAGCAACGCAGTTGTAAAGTATGTCATGTTACTGCACTGCTTAGCAATGGCAGTTCTGGCACTTCCGGTTGCCATTATTAAGCCAATCCCATGATATTGTTAAGCACAACGTCACGTGGCCACCATTTGTGACCTCCTGCTGGCTTCCCCGTAGACTTGCTTGTCAGAAACCGGCAATGAAGGTTGCAAATGGTGATCATGACTGTGGGACGCTGCAACACTGTAACTGCAAGCCGATCACCAAGCGCCTGGATCACAATCACGTGACCACGAAGACACTGTGACCGCTGTAAATTTGAGGACCAGTCATTAAGTATCACTCGTTCAGACTGTAAGTTTGAACAGTTGCTGAATAAATGGTCATTAAATGAGGACCACCTGTAGTACCGAAGCAGGATGATATTTTGGTAGTGTGAGTCACAGCTAATAAAGTTGATTAATTTCTGATTGATCACATTATTCCTAAAAGAGTAAGTGGAGAACTGCACATGATGGTGCTTGGAAAAACCTTGCTTCTCCAGATAGGTTAGGAAAAAAAGTGCTGCTCAGGGCATCATTGTTACCCCAGGCGTTCAATAATTATGAGAAGATGTGGAATTAATTATCATGGCCCTAATGCCAAATATTCCAGAAGCAAGTTTTCTTCTTTTTACACTTCCTTTTAAGTTGCTGCTGAAAAATATGGCACCAGAAAGAAAGCAAAACGATTTCCTAAAGAATTTAAGACCACAGATTACTTCAATAGTTCAGAAACAGCAAGGTATTCCTATTCTTCTACTGAAGCTAGAAACAAATATCAAAGTATTCCATATTTCTGGGTGTAACATAAAATGTGTTCTACTTGTCCCTCTCTTAAAGGAGGAGAAATAATTTTTGCAGTCTGCTATGCTCCCTCTGACTTGCGCTTAATCACAGAATGAACATTACACAGCAACTTTTCTGCCATGCCCTTATGATTTTGCGTTCATCTCATCCCCAACTCAAATCTGAGGCAGACTCAAATCATCCTGAGTTATGGTTTTAAAACAGTTTTTCCCTTAAACAGGAAACAAGCCATGGCAGTTTTACTGTGGGAACCTGATTCTGAAAGAGGGATCAGCCCAGCTAAGAGGTGGCACACACTGTGAGTGATACATATGGTTATCATATGGGTGGGGACTCCCATGCCCACCCCACAACCTCTTTCCCTGATTTATTTATCAGGCTACTTTTAAACACAGGTTTAGGGCTCTTTCAGAAGAAAGCTAAACCCATATTTAAATAGACTGATTAACAGCCAGCAAATGTGGGGGAAAGGCTGTGCAGTGAAGGGGAGGAAACTCTCTTGCTGCACTGTGTAACCCCTCCCTACCCGTCCTTATAAGCTGTGCTCCACTAAAAGTCAGATCTCCCTTTCCACAATCTCACCAAGCACTGTGGATCAGCTGCTGAAAGCCTGTGAAAAGCTTTGAGTGATCCTGAAAGATGGTGGTCTAGCCATCTAGAGCCCCAGCCCAGCCTCCCAAGACTCAGCACAGTTAAGGAAAGTAGATGCTTTTCCACAAGCCTCTGACATTTGGTGGGAAGGGAGAGAAACAGTGCTATAGGAATATACCAATCCCATTCTTTAACTTGCCCTCTTCACCCTACCTTTGGCAGGATAGCGATTAACAGCGGGGACAGCAAATTTCATCCTAGCATACTTTTCTGTCAAGTGATAAACTGGTGAACAGTATTTTAATTAACCCATGAAGAAGAACCCAAGAATTGGCCTGCTGAAACCCTTCACATAGCAAATAGTTTTCAAGCATTAAAGAACTGCACTTACTGTACTGAACATGAATGCACAAAAAGGGAAGAAGGAAAAGGATATGTTCCCTTAATTCTCAATAATTCCTCTTAGTAATTAGTGTAATTATTTAATAGTTGTATAAATGTAGGGTATTATTTCTATGCAACACATAACAGAAGGTTATCAGGGAAAAGGAATAAAGGAATCCTATATCTGCTGCCCTCTCCTAAAATATTTTCTCCATGTTTTAAAAGCCTCTGGATATAGGTTGATAAAAGATTTGAACAAGAACAATATTGTTAGGGCTAGAGATATATTAAAATATGGAAGAGACTTCTTCCAAATTTCTCCTTTTACATATACAGTCAGGTCCAGAAATATTGGGACATCGACACAATTCTAACATCTTTGGCTCTATACACCACCACAATGCCAAAACAACTGTTTGGAACATTCTCAAAAAGAAGGAACGCACCGGTGAGCTCAGCAACCCAAAACAACTGTTTGGAACATTCTCAAAAAGAAGGAACGCACCGGTGAGCTCAGCAACCCAAAACAACTGTTTGGAACATTCTCAAAAAGAAGGAACGCACCGGTGAGCTCAGCAACCCAAAACAACTGTTTGGAACATTCTCAAAAAGAAGGAACGCACCGGTGAGCTCAGCAACCCAAAACAACTGTTTGGAACATTCTCAAAAAGAAGGAACGCACCGGTGAGCTCAGCAACCCAAAACAACTGTTTGGAACATTCTCAAAAAGAAGGAACGCACCGGTGAGCTCAGCAACCCAAAACAACTGTTTGGAACATTCTCAAAAAGAAGGAACGCACCGGTGAGCTCAGCAACCCAAAACAACTGTTTGGAACATTCTCAAAAAGAAGGAACGCACCGGTGAGCTCAGCAACCCAAAACAACTGTTTGGAACATTCTCAAAAAGAAGGAACGCACCGGTGAGCTCAGCAACCCAAAACAACTGTTTGGAACATTCTCAAAAAGAAGGAACGCACCGGTGAGCTCAGCAACCCAAAACAACTGTTTGGAACATTCTCAAAAAGAAGGAACGCACCGGTGAGCTCAGCAACCCAAAACAACTGTTTGGAACATTCTCAAAAAGAAGGAACGCACCGGTGAGCTCAGCAACCCAAAACAACTGTTTGGAACATTCTCAAAAAGAAGGAACGCACCGGTGAGCTCAGCAACACAGTCTGCAGTTAAGGCACATTGTGTTTGTTTCATTCCAAATCCATTGTGGTGGTGTATAGAGCCAAAGATGTTAGAATTGTGTCGATGTCCCAATATTTCTGGACCTGACTGTAGATTCCAAAATTCAATCATTTCTTCAAAATCTCCAAACTGAACAGAAAAAAAGATTTAGAAATTAAAGATACGTACATCCATTTCTTAATGCAGTGTGCTACTGTCAGCACTGAGTTCTTATTAATTAAAGATCCACCACATATATGGCGATATCGACCTGATGCAACATGATAAATCTGAAGACTAACTTGCCACGGCCATGCTCCAAGCTGAGCAACATGTCCACCTGCAATCTGAGCCTCTGCTGGTACGTTAACCACTGCAGGCCTTGCTCCACATCCTAGAAATCAAAATGTAAGTTATATTGTTAATTTTCAGTGAGTCTAAAATAGCTCAAAAAGCAAACACCAACATCCAACAACATACATAAATAGCCTAAGAGCCCTTTTAAAACTGATCTGGGTGGGAAATATTTGTTCTGTTACTGGACCACATAACTGTTAGGAGATTAATGATTCAGAAATACCACCAGGTTTCATTATGAGAAGTTGTTGTCCAATTATGTCTTTGAATTGAAGCAGTAATAAGCCCAGCAGACAATTTTGACTAGTACTCCAGCCAGTGGGATCAGTAGAGATTTGGAGTTGTAATCCAAAACATCTGCAGGGTGCTTGAACACCTGTTTCTAAATTCACAGGCAGTTCACAAAAGATGCCCGAATAAAGCAGACCGCATTAGTAATTGAGCTTAATCTCATGCTACAATTCCTACAAGATCTTCAGGATAGCTGATATGCGTTCCCCCTTCCCCTGTAATACCTTCACAAAAATTTTGTTAGGCTAAGAAATTTGCACAAAGGTATCCAGTGAAATTGGTAAATCAGTGAAGATTTGATCCCACATCTCCCTAGTTCAAGTAAAAAACTTACACTATACTGGTTTACATATCTTTATTTTGTCTGCAAAATAGTATCTAATGGAATAGTTTGATATTTATGATGACTGGATCCTATTGATTATTTTTTTTCGCGCCTATTGATGCAATCGTGATGGGTGTTTCGCGAGCCACCAGAGTCGCACAAACTGCAGGAGCCCCGCGGACGCCTCCTTTCCGGGAGCGCCCGCCTCAACTCACGCCTGGGGGCGCTCGCAGCCTCCCTCTCCGCGGAGACGTTTCCGCCGACGCCTTTGGCACTTGCGCGCCCTCGACGCGTCTCGCTTGTTCGGCAGGTTCGAAGAATTTCCCCGCGCGCCGGCGACGGGTTTTTCTCGAGGCCGGTCTGTTACGCTACCCCGTCCTAGGCGGCACGCCCCGCGAGGACGGAGTGAGGCCGGGCTCACCGTCAGAAAGATTCACAGAGGATTTGGGGGCGGCTTC